AGTCCGTCACAGAATTCTGCCCACAAACTCAGAGAGCAGGCTTCATGAGTTCCATTTGACAGTCAAGAAGCAAAGGCTGGGTGGGGGGCGTGCTGGGTTGTGGCTCCGCTGTAAAGCTGTAAAATGCTCTCGCCTGGCACGTGCGAGGCTCTGGGTTCCTTAGCACCACATATAAATAAATAAAATAAAGGTATTACGTCCAACTACAACTAAAAAATAAATGTTGAAAAATTAAAAAAAAAATAATAATCTACGGCTCCCAGAAGTGAATAGCATGTCCAAACTCACACAGCAGGGGACTGGTGGCAGTGGATTCTAGCCAGCAGGCCTCTCCCATCCACCAGGAGGCCTCCTCTGCCCTGGCCCACCCAGGAACCAAGCATTCCAACCCACACTGATGTTACCTGACCAGCACTGTGGCCTTTCTCTCCAGCCACCAGATACCTGTGCTCCTCCTGCCAGCAGGGCAGGACCTGGAGCTGGTGAACCAGAGCTTTTTGCTGGTGTCGTCCCTTGGCTTGGCAAAGGCAGGCCCAGGGAAGCCATGCTGCCTAGGTAAGCCCCATCAGGGAATGCAGCAGCAGTCACTGGGCCCCCACCTGGAAGACAGTCCCAACCTGCCCCTGGATATCACCCCATTCTCCTTAACCCAAAATGACCAATGGCCAAGGCCACAGGAGCAAGGCCCTGCCACCCAGCAAGGTGGCTGGTGTCTACTCACCTAGACGCTAAAGCAAAGCCCTGACCCAGGTGCTAAGGGTACCTGCCCTGCACCTTCCCCTCCCCCACCACCAGAGCCCAGGCCCAGACATCTGGTCAAGAGTGGGATCCGCCACAGTCAATCTGAGTGACCACAGGCAGGACACTGCACTACTCTGGGTTTCAGCTGCTAAGCATCGCTGGATGGTGACCCATTCCACACTATAAACGCAGCGTGATCTGCTCTCAAATCACTTCTCCAAGTCAGAATACTGAAGAAGGGGGCTCCTCCAAAGCTAATTTAGGGATCTGACTGCCTGACTATTCTGGTGATATTTACACCGACTGGAAGTTTGAGGGGATTACGTGTGTGTGTGTGTGTGTGTGTGTGTGTGTGTGTGTGTGTTTATGAGGAAGAGAGCAATTGTGCAAATGCGACTCACAGGAGAAACATTTAAAAGTGACAGCTTCTCAGGAGGATGGGGCAGGTCCTGGCATTCACTTGCAAAACATGGTTTTGCTCCCACAGATCAAGAATTCAAAAAAAAAAAAAAAAAAAAAATGTCCCCCATGGAAATGGAGCCTCAATCCTGCAACAGCATGCCTAACAAAGAGGATTCCCGGGCTGCCCTCTCCCCAACATCCGCAGAATTCCAAAGTTAATCAGGATCTTACAAATCAATGAGGGGGAAAAAAGTTGTTAACAGCTCCATAGGAAATGACCCGTTTACAAAACACAAACAGGTGATAAACAGGAAGAGCTGGCCAGCCACACCTTGAGTCGCAGAAAAGTCACCCTAAGTTTATAACCAGATACTGGTTGGGTTGCGCTTCTTCATTTCTTAGCTGTAGCTGTTTGCCTGCCGTGTCTCTTGTGCTGGGTCGTCTGCCAAGGATTGGATCCCTTCCTGCCTTAAGAATTTTGCATTAATTAGAATCTCCAGCTTCAGGAGGTGGCTCCCAGGGCCGCCCCACCCCACCCCCTGCACTGTCTAAAGTGGCTACTGGTGAAATAGCCTCAAAATAAATCTGACTGAATGAAGCAGACCATCAAGTTCCTGTTTGGGGGTGGGGGGCCACTCTGCCAAGAAAAGGATCCTGCTGTAGCCACTGGATGATGATGACAACAGTGACCGGCAGCAACTGGCCATCACCCTGCACCTGCACTGGCCATCCTAGGGAGGCTCCAGGCAGGGCCTCCCTGCCCTCCCCTCACAGCAGCCCCCCAGCCCCCCAGCTCATCGTGTGTGTTGTCCAGCTCTTTGTGTGACAGCCTGTGGGTCCCCAGAGGTGGCAGTGCTCGCCAGCTCCTAAACTCCCTCGGTCCTTTTCCCTAAAGGTGCTGGTCTGGAGTTCACAGCCCTCTCCTTGGTTCTGAAGGTTCCTTCAGGGAGATTTTTGTTCTGGTGGCGGTGGGCAGGAGAGTCGCCCATTCCCACACTGCACTCTGGCGCCCACAGCTGGAAGGCAGTCCTGCAGCCTGGCATCCAGCGCCAAACCAGCTCCTGTCTTGCTGAGGCTGCCCAGGGCCAAGTTCCTTCCCAGAGCAACCTTGTGGTTCCAGGAAGTGGCCCCGCCCAGATTCGCATGACCTTCCCTGAAGCCCTGGAGCATCCCCAGTTCTGGGCACCAAGGGCAGCTCCGAGCCAGGCGTGTTCCCAGTGTGAGCGGAGGTGTTCCCAGGGGTTTATGTCACCAATCAGCTTGTACAGCGGCATTACTCCTGGGGAGTACCACACCCAGATAATACAAGCTTATGGAGGGCCAGATGACACATTTAAGGAGGACAGAGAAAGCGATCTCCCTCAGGACTTGTGACTCAGCCTCTCTACTTGTAGAGACAAAGGAACAAATGATTGCCGAGGGCCTCCAGGGTACCAGACTGCTGCGTGCATGAGAATCTCACCAACTTTGACCTACAAGGTGTTGTCTGCATTTTACAGGCAAGAAAGCTGAGGACAGGGAAGGTTAACTCATCAGCAGGCCCAAGAGGCAACTCCAGGGGACTCAAAAGCCCAGCTCTGACTCTTCATAACGGTTGGCTCATTCGGAGAGAGCCCACGCGGACTTCAACAGAACCAGGGCAGCCAAGATCTCAGTGGCACTCACATCAGCACCAAGAGTCCAGGGGCTGGCAGTGGATAGTTCTGTCCCAACCTCACAGCTTCTCCTATACTGCAGTCCAAGGGAGAAGGAGACAGCAAACTCAAAAGACACCTTCTGCCTGGGCCACCGTGTGACCACAAGCAACGTGCTCGTGACACATTGCTCTTTAATCCAGACTGGGTACCATCGAGCCTGGCAGCAGGTGGGCACCAGGTGGGTTGCTCCTGTCTTCTCTTCTCCTGCCTAGCAAGGTGAGAAGCTCCTGGTTCTCTGTGTTCCAGTGATACAGGGTACAGTCAGGCTGGAGCAGCCAAGCCCTCCTCCGAAATGGCCCCAAATGAGGCAGTCAGCTACCAACAAGCTCAAGTTTTTCTCTCATTTAAAAGTGCCATTGAAAATGAATTTTCAGGCTGGATGCGGTAGCACACGCCTGTCGTCCCAGTGGCTCGGGAGGCTGAGACAAGAGCATGGCAAGTTTAAAGCCAGCCTCAGCAACGGCAAGGTGCTGAGCAGCTCAGTGGGTCCCTGTCTCTAAGTAAGATATGAAACAGGGCTAGGGATGTGGCTCAGTGGTCAAGTGTCCCTGAATTCAATCCCCGGTGTATCCCCCCAAAAAAGAATTTTGGGGTGAAGTCACTAGAGAAAGGAGCCAGGTGAAGCTCAAGGACACAGACTTGCTCTACTTAGACTTCATTCAAAACTCCTGTATTGGCCACCTTCCATATGCCAACCACAGTCCCAGAAACCCTGGTACCACCGTCATTCCTTTACCAAAAAGACTCGAAAGCATCCATCAGAACGAAACTATTCCCACATTGGTCAAATTTTCAACTATATTCAAAATGCCCAACCTCGAAAAGTGTCCATTTCTATGACCTCTCTCCATCGGGCAACCTCCACAGAAGGTAACCTGAGGCCTCGCTAGCACCTACTTAGTGACCAGCTTCAGGTCAGAGGTTAATTCAAAGGACAACTGTTTTCTTTGAACACAGGTCCAACAAATCCCTGTCCTCCCGTCCATTCAGCTCTGAGCAGTAGCCCCTCCTCCTGACTCCTCTCCCCTCCACACACACTGAAGAGCCCGAAGGCCTCACAGCTTCTGGGAGCTTGACCAGGAAAGCTGGCCTGGGGAGGCCATTACACAGGCAGGTACCAGCTCTAAGCCTTAAGCAGCTGCCCCTACCAGGAAGGGAGGAAGGGAAGGGGCTGTGCTTTAGAAACACTGATCTAGCCCAAGCCCCTCTCTTGATACGTGAGACCCCCAAGGACAGCAGAAACAAACCCAACCAACACAGCTTCCCCCTCAGGGACAAAGAATGGCCTTAATTCCACCTACCCAACCCCTACCCAAGACAAAGCCTGGGGGGGGGGGCCTCACTGCCAAGGCCCCCAGCAGCTCTCTCTGCAACCAGCAGGCCTCAGGGCTCAGCAGGCAGCTGAATCCACAATGCCAGCAGTCTCCTAATGACACTTTTGTCTTCCCTTAATAGCCATCTTCCTGTAGGACAGCTGCTGTCCTCAGAGAAGACTTCAGCAACCACTCAAAAAAAAGAGGGAGGGGGGGGAAGACAAACTCGAATGGGGGGAGGGTTAAAATAGTAAACTGAGTCAGGGGAGTCATAGTCAAATTCCAGAAAGCTGCTATCCGGCTCTGTGACTCCGAGTCTGTATCTTCTCCTACTAGATCCTCAGTTTCTTCAATGAATTGGGTAGAAGATGGTGTGAAGTCTTTGGGTCAGGAAGGAATGAATGCATCAGTGCGTGCTCAGAGGGGTTGCAGGGGGCCACATACAGATGTTATTCTTGCACCTGCTCCTCTGGGAACAGGGCTGGGTTCTCAAGATGTTCACAAAATAGGAAAGAGATTTGCAGGCAGCTCCTGTGGCAGCAGAGATCCTGCCCAGTTGGCTCCCGCCTCTGCAGGCTGGGTCACCACCCTAGCTTCCTCCCTGAACTGAACTTTTGAATTCAAAAGGTAGATGGAGGTGAATTCCTGGAGCCCAGGCACAGACCTGGAGAGGGATCAGGGGGCAAGACACCTCGAGGGTGGCCGGCAGCAAAGAGGTTCAAATGCCAGTGTATCCCCTTTAAATGCTTCTAGAAGCAAGAAAGTCCACCAGGGTCCCACAAAAGGCTCACTGTTGAGGCCAGGGTTGCACGGTGACTCAGAGGCCAGCTGGACTACGGGGAGATGACTCAGCACCCCTGTGCCAAGCGCCTGCCTGCCTCCAGAAGCAGGGGGTCCCGTGCCAGGAGACTCAGTCAGGAGGAATGCCCCCCGCCCGCCCGCCTGTGCCCACTGAGGGCGACTCACGCGCCTGGCATTCCAGTGGTGCCAAGTGACGGACCTGTTGCTGCGCCAGGGTAAACAGCAGGCGGGAAACCGAGCCCGGCTTCCCGGCTGCGGGTGAGGTCATGCCTGCGAGGGTGGAGGGCAAGGAAAGCGGCAGGATCGGACAGGGTGGGTGGCCCCTGGGGGCAGGAAATGGCCTGGATACCAGCCGGCCTCCCTGCCAGGCTGCTGCACACTGGCTTCTAGGGAGGGAAAGAGAGAGAACCCAGGAAGAAAAGTGCAGGACGGCCAAGGGCACAGCCCCGAGGGACAATGGGGACTGTGGCACAGCCCCGAGGGACAATGGGGACTGTGGCATAAAGTGCGCTGTGTGATGTTCACAGACCTAAATAGCATCCTGCTGCTCTTCCCAATCCCCGCCCCCAACAGAGGTCCACTTTATGCTTTGACCACAGCCCTTGCTGCTCGGCCACCGCGGCTTATTTTTGAAACAGACGCTTCTTTCTCTTCTTTCCCTGTCTCCCTCCCCTTCCTAATCTCTCTCTCTGGGGAAGCAGGATCACCTTTCTTCCCCATCCCAGGCTGAGTCCTCTGTCCCTGAGCGCACGCCCACCACAGGAACAGGGTTACTCAGATTTGGGATGGCACCAGAAGATCTCAGAAGTGACAATCTCCCCAATTAACAAGTGGGTCACAACTCTGGACACGGAACGCAGGGAGGGCAGCCTTTGATTCCCCCCCTTTAAAACCCCCTGCTCCCCTGATGGCCGGAATCCCCGCCTCTGGGAGAGGAGTCCTCTGTGTTTTCTTCCTTCGCTAGTAAAGCAGTAAAACTTCTTTTTCCTTTTTTTCTCAAAATCGTGCCCTCATGATTGGATGGTCATCACTGAGCTTTCGGGGACACCCCACCAGCTGAGGATCAGAAGGTTGCAAGAGAGTTGTGCGGGCTGTGGAGGCACCGCGGAGACCCCTGGGCTAGGCGGAGGAGGGAAGCGAGCCAGGTGAGTAGACGCACAACCACAAGCGCAAGTGCTCAAACCCTGCTGCTGCCCAGAGCCTCAGCTCTGCCCCCCTGCACAAGTCCTCCGCCACGCCCATCATGAGAGGACACGGGGCCTGGGTAGCTCTCCCCTTCACAGCTAAGCAATGCCAGTGGGGTCCTTTCACAGTCCTAGATGTCCGCATTTCAGAGGTCAGGAGGGTCCCCAAGGAACCGTGAAGCATACCCAGAGCCCCTGCTAGGTAGGTGGGCAGCAGCTTCCCAGGGCACAGGTCCGGCAGCCACTGTCTGAAAAGACAGGGCCTTCTCTTAGGGAATCTGTCCCAAATTCCACCTCAGCACCCCATACCACATCTGCCCAGAACAGCACAAGAGCTCACAGAAAACAGTGAGGACCTCGGGAGAGCTGCCTGGTTACGAAGACCTGGCCCATGGCACGTCTCTGCGGGGGCACACCTGACTCCACCCTATGCCGACCCTGGGTGGTAGGTAGGGTCCTGCCTGACCCTTCGGCAGACCAGGCTCCCACCAAAGAGCAAAACAGATCTTTAGTTTTGCTTAGAAATTCAAAATCAATAAAGAGGTCATCCGAGGGGCTGGGGATACCGCTCAGCTGGTAGAGTGCTTTTCTTGCACGGGCTCTGGGTTCAATCCCCAGCACCACACACACACACACACACACACACACACACACATACACACAAAAGTAATTGGGGAAAGCATAAAATAACAGGAATTGATAATATCCCACTTTCATAATAGTTTAACGGGCCACACACCTTAACTAAATAGGTAAATAATAAAAACTTGGCAAAAGATAAATTAAAAATGAATAAATAACAAATATAAATGATAGAACAATTTAAAAATAATAACAACTTAAGGGGCTGGGGATGTGGCTCAAGCGGTAACGCGCTCACCCGGCAAGCATGTGGTCCGGGTTCGATCCTCAGCACCATACAAAGATGTTGTGTCCGTCGAAAACTAAAAAAAATAAATATTAAAAAATTCTCTCTCTCCTCTCTCTCTCTCTCTCTCTCTCTCAAAAAAAAAAAAAAAAAACTTAAAATGCACTAATGTGCCTTTGAAATTAGAAATACGGGTGTACACCTCTGGGATCAGGAGGCCTGAGCCAAGACCTGGACTCCACCAGGGGACCCACCTCAGTCTCAGTGTTTCCTAGCATCTCCAGGTCTAATCTGCCCTCCTACGGGATGAGGACAGTAGCACCTGCCGCCCCTTCCTTCCTGCCATGAGAGGTACATGAAGATCCAGTCCTGAGCTGGAGGAGAATTTACTGAGCAGGACTGTGTCAGGTCGGGCCCAGCACCTCACCCCTTGCTCCCAAGGGCCCTTTGATGTACAGATCCATCTCCATTAACAATGGGCTTCATCCCAATGACCCTCACAAACTGAAAAAAGTCAAAGTGCATCCAACCCCCCACCTATGGACCACCAGAGGTCAGCTCCTGATGGAGGAGGAGGACTGTGTTGCTTATCACTGGCCCAGGAAAGGACTCACAATTCAGATGTGGTTTCTACTCAGTATGTATGAGTTTTGCACCATCTTAAATTCTGAAGATCTTAACATTTTAAATATCGTAAATCCATGACTTTCTGTACATTGTCTTCATGTGACAAGTATATAGAGACTGAGGTTCAAAGATGTCAAGCCCTGTGTCCCAAATCATCCATCCAGCCCAGAGCAAGCTCAGGGGTAAAAAAAAAAAAAATGACAAAGGACTTCCGCCTGCAAGGGGTTTCTGGGTGACTTGGTCACCTGGGACCCAGCAGCAGAACCTGCTGGGACTGTACAACATTTGAGCCCACCCCTGCCTAACAAACAGTGGGCATGTGGGCCTCTCCTGGGCACTCCACGGGGACCAGTTCACCAAGAGACTCGGCCACAGCTTGCCCTGAGCACACACCCCACCACCCACCTTTCATTCCCTGGCTGGGCTGGACCAGCATCTGCATGGGCAAAGCCAGTTGGGTGCCACCTCCCCAGAGAACCCAACCCGACAAGAGAGCATTTGGGCATCCTGTTCTGCAGAAGCACAGCCATGACAGTGGCAGAGTCCACCAAGGATGGCCAGTATGACTGGACCACACCCTTGGCCCCTCTGAGCCTGTCTCCCAACATCTCACACAATAGCACAGCTTTCAGAGATCCTATTGGGACTGGCCAGTCTCTGGGGACAGCCTGCAGAAGCTCTCCACCGGGGTAAAGAGTTAAATGCTCTGATCAAAACATGGTTCTCAAGTCTTCTAGAATCTCCTCTTTGGAGGCAGATGCTCCTTTCCCTTCCTGTCTTTCAGGGCTGGCAGGCCCTCCGTGTGGTCAGGCAGACAGCTCATGGAGGGTCGGGGTGGGGCTGGAAAGGGCCTTTTCCTCCCCAAGTCAGGCTCTGGGGCCTGGAGGAGGGGAGAGAAGGGGACCTGCCCACCCCCACCATGGAGGCAGGTTCTCGGATGGCAGAGCCCTATTTGAACAGGCCTGTTCTAGCCTTCCACTGGCTGCACATCCCTCTTAACAAAGCAGAAGGCCCTGTGTGGTGTGGCCTCCCCTCCCGGGCTCACTCCTCTCCTAACTCTGGGTTACCCTCCAGCTACCCCGTGCCCCACCTTCAGCCCACTGTCCACTCAGTGCCCAGAGAGCAGAAGCCTGCAGGCCCCAGAACTGGCTGCTGGGTGAGTGCAGTCCACGGGAGACACCAGGAGGTCAGAGGGCCGATGAGGGAGAGTTCAAAAGTAGGACTTTGGGGGCACCCTCCCTGCAGCAGGGCCAGCTCCTTCCACACTTCCGCCCTGACAGGAGGCCCATACTCCCCAGCTCCAGCCAGACTGCCTGCCCCCACCGGCTCCCATGTTGGTCCCTTCACCTCCCCACCTCTGTCCATGGTCCCTCCTCTAGACCCTCCTCAGCTGAGCCTCTGTGAGGGACTCCAATGCCTCAGAACTGATCTGGGGTTTTCCTTGTGCATCTTGGCCCCATCTCATTATCTTCATTCAAATTCCAACCTTTTATTTCAAGGTCCTTAACTTCAGGATCACTGTGAGCTATTAAGAGATCCAATCCTCAGGCCTCACCCTAACCCCTGGGGGTAGGGGTGGGGGGTTTCAACAAGACCTCTAGGTGATGCTGATGTCTGTTAAAATTTCAGAATCACTGGACTAGACGGCTGATAAATGAGTAGGATACACGAGCTGGCCCCCAGGGCTCAGCTTCGTATACCTCTAGGGCCAGGCAGAGCCAAAGCCCAAAGCCAAGATCCTGAGATCCACAAGGTGGTTTCTGGAAAATAATTTGTCCATTTGGTCAAAATCCGTTTGCCCAGCTGGGCTAGCTCAGGCCAGGCCAGCGCAGACAGGAGAGGACTGGGCTGAGCAGGAGGGACACAGGCCTGGGGACGCAGCTCCATGGTAGAGTGCTTGCACAGGGCTCTGGGTCCTCTCTCCAGCACCATACAAAAGGAGGGAGGATGGTGTTACCCCAAAGGTGGAGCTGGAGTGGACAGCAGAGGGAGTGGTGCGTCCCTGCAGTCACTGTCAAGCAGCCTCATTTAGCGATTCCATGACAGGAATGCAGACAATGCCTCAGAGTCCCCAGGCAGGACTGTGCAAGGCAGAGAGGATTGCGGAATGCCTGCTTGTTGACCAAGGCTGACCTGCGGAATCCAGCTGAATCCCTCAGCAGCCGTGGGGAGTACCATCCCATTTATCATTCCCCCAAGGGATTGTGTGCACACAGCAGGTAATTGAGCCAGAACTTCCTGTGCAAAGGCCATAAAAGCCCAATTCACTTCACAAGCCTGGGGTCAGACCTGCCCTCCCAGACCCCAGAGCATGCCACCTCTCCTCAACCCGAGGAACCCCCATCAAGTACAGTGACCAGGAAAGACCAGGGCCCAAAGCAGCCAAGTGAGCCAACAAGCAACCGCAATCCTGTTGCCCATGGCCCTCCTACAGAGAGCGCAGAGGGGCAGGTCCTGCTCAAGATGGTTTGTATCTACGATCCAGAATGTCAACGAACACCATGATTCATTAAATAACTCCATGGATGTCAAACAATCTTGGGCCGAGTCAACGCGGTATGGGAATTCTCTCATCTCATCCAACAGTGTGTGACCCCCACCTCTTCTTGCAGCAGACTCCTTCACGGCCATTTTCAGAGAATGAATGCTCATACGTCATTCCAAAAGCCTCTTGCTGATTGCCTACCATTTTCCAGCAGATCCACCTCCATTCAAGACACCCAGTCTTTGAAGCCAAGCATGGAGTCATCTTTGATTCACCCTTCTCACTCTCCAAATCCAACTCATGAGCAAGGCCTTCCAGGCACCCCACCCCAAAACACTTAAATCTACTATTGTTTCTCCACTTGCCAGGTTAGTACCCAACCTAGACCACCACCCCTCTCCCTAGTAACAACCAGCATGCTGCCCCCCTCCACTGTCACCCTCCACACAGCAAGCTCCTCTCCAACCACTGCCCCACCACACCCTACAACTCCACTTCTCCATCTGGCCCTCCTCCTGTTCCTCAAATAAGTGGCTTGCTGCCATCCTACCTGAGAAATGTCTATCCGTGCCTCTAGCAAGTGGCAATTATAAAAATATCAAATGCTGGCATGGGCTAGGATGTTATCCATTAGGCCTCAACACTGGGGTCAAATAAAGTCTCTGCAAAATTCATGTCTAACCAGAACCTCAGAGGGTGACCACATTTGGAAATAGGTCCCTCACAGAGATAAACAGTTCAGATGAGGTTATGCTAGATCAGGGTGGGCCCTGATCCAACAACTAGCACCCTTGTAGGAAGAAGAGATGAGACTCCCACCCATGGGGAGAGGTCAGACCATGATGGAGGCAGAAACCACAGCCATGCAGCTTCCAGCCCAGGAGCACAAAAGGTGGCCGGCCACCACCAGAGCAAGGAGAGCCCTCAGAACGTGGCCCTTGTGACACCCTGAGTTTGGACTTCGAGCTCTAGAACTGTGAGAGAATAAATCTTTTTTTTTTTTTTTTTTTTTTTGCAGGAGGACAGGGAGAAAATGGGTGTCACTAAGCTGCTGAACATCTCACCAAGCTGTCCAGGCTAGCCTGGAACTTATGATCCTCCTGCCTCAGCCTCTGGAGTCCCTGGGATTACAGGTGTGTGCCATCATGCCCTGCTAAACGTCCACTATTGAAAGCCACCCACTTTGTGGCTATTTACAATGGCAGCCCTAGGACACTATCACACATTTTATAAACACTCTCCCCGGTCCATGCCCACACCCCACGAAGACAGAATTCTTGCTCTAACTTTACAGATGGGACACTAAGCATCGGAGAAGAGATGTCCCCTGCTCAAGTTCACAAAGCTGATACGTGGCACACAGCAGAGATTCAAACCTCATCGGACTCCAAAGAGCAAGTTCTTGATAAGGACTAAGCAGCCACTATTTTTTTTAATAGAACTGATGTTCAATAAAAATAAAAACTTTAAAGCAAGGCCTGAGAAGCAACACCTGGAAGCTCTTCCTGCTTACAAGGCGCCGGCAGCTCTTCTGTTGGAAAGGGGTTCTGGGAAGCTCTGGTTACCAAGGAGAAAGGAACCAGCTACCAATCGCTTTAAGAGCACTTAAAAGCAACGGAGGAAGGCTTCCTTCTGCAGCTGTATTGTACATTTTTGTTGCTGGGACCACCCATCTAATATACAGAGATATGTTTTTAATATACATATTAAAGGTTTTATTATATACAATATATGCAATAATTATTTTTCTGCTCATCACAGAGTCCTTTGTAGTCCCTGACCTGAGTCATCATTATTACACTGGGCTCCTACACGAACAAGCTTACCTTGTGAAGGCATTCTGGGCAAAAGATCCAAAAAGCTTTAACTGGTTAAGGCGCGGAGCTTGGAATGGCGTGTAATTATTTTTAACAGGGAAAAAATAGCCCATCTTGTCAGCTCTCCATTTTGAGAGAAGACAAATTGGCCACAAGCACATACATAAAAGGGTGAGTCCGGGAGGACGGGCTGAGCTTCGTGGGATGAATGCAGCCATTCACTCTGCGACCAGTCCCTCAATGTCCCTCTCTCCCAGTGCTTAAAAGGAACCCTGGCCTCCGCTGGTTCCCAAAACCACCCTGGAGAGGTTTCATACAAGTCTTCTACCGCTTCTAAAGGGCTTGTTTGCTTTATCATTTAAATTTCAAAATACATCTGGAGCCAAGGAGGAATACAAAGGCCACAGGGCCTGTGCTGCCCTCAGGAAGAGAGGAGACCCCCTGGGCCTTCCCAAGGCAGCCAGGACACAGACCCTCACTTGGCAGCAGCTGCCAAGTGACGACTGTTGTTGTTGTGGTTGTTGTTGTGGTTGTTGTTTTGGGGTAACAGTGTCTCACTCACCCGAAGCCCACTTCACAGAGCCTCTCCCACACGTGCTCCATGTCCACTCCGGGCCTCAGCTTCCCTCACCTGGGAACAAGTAATTCGATGAATAGTAAGAAGCTCTTGACAAGCAGGAAGAGGCGGAAGCCGGCTTCAGAACACCCACATCCTTCCGTCCAAAAGGGTGGACATCCCAGGGGTAAGAAGATACACCCCCACCCGCCCCTTTCCATTTTGAATGGAGAAACAAAAGGGGGTCCCATAAACACTTTGATGTTTCCTGAAGTGGTCACTGAGCTAAAAAAAAAAAAAAAACCTTACAATTGAACTAGATGGCCTCCAAAAGGCAGTAACTGGGCCCTAACAGTCACCAGATGTGACAATGGGCTGGGAGAAATGAGGGACGGGGCTTTGCACCAGAATTGAGATCAAAAGCTTTGAGAGAAAGATGGATTTCAGCCTTTCTTCCCCGTCCCGTCAGGGTCACCAAGCACGATGCTCTTGCAGGACTCTACTCACATGACCCCTGACACTCATGGGCAGGGATGGAACAGGGAATCCACCCCATGTGTCAGAAAGAAGGGGGAGGGAATGTTTCTAGGGAGCTGCCAACTCGGCACATAGAGCCTGGGGGAGCAGCTCAGCCCCGACTGCAGGGCGGCCCTGAAATTCCTGGGAGAGGCCCTGGTTCACAGGAGGACAGGGAGCTGCCCAAACACTGCCTTGTGCATGAGGAGTCCCTGGCCAGAAAGGAGCAGACGGGGGTGGCCCAGGCCTCCAGCCTCAGGACTCTGGGTCAGGCCCACAGTTCCCCCACCCAGGCCACCCCAGAACAGAACAGTGGGTGGTCAGCTGCCCAGGAGCCAAGGCTGGATGTCCAGGACTCTGGCTGCACATCAGGGGGCTCAGATGGACAGCTATGAAACCACAGGTTGTGGATCTTCTTAGGGCTTCTGTGCCTGCATTGAGAAGCTGGAGGGCACTCCAAGGCTTTTCACTATCTGGTGGACTTCTGAGAACTTGATTCTTATAACTAAAGAACTCAAAGGTACACAGGGTCAGGGCCACAACTGGATGCAGAGACACCCAGGAAACGTCAGCTTCCGACCCCCCAGAGGCCCCTGTCCTCAGAAGCATGCACTCTCTTGGTGAACCCCTCCAGAGCCAGCCTGTGCATATATGCTTGTGTGTGTGTGTGTGTGTGTGTGTGTGTGTGTGTGTGTGTGCTTGCACATACATATTCACAAATGGGAATGGTTAGGAGACTCCAAAATAGTCACTTGCCATCTGGAGACTAACTTTGTCATCCATCGAATGACAGGCTTGGACGGGTCCCCTCTGACTGTAAAGATTGCAAACTATGAACCCGCTCAGCCAGAGGCCAGAGCCAGCAGCTTATGAAGCGAAAGCGCAGCTTGCTAGGATGTGATGGAGGGAATCACTGGGTCTGCCGTGTCCAATAGGGGTAACTGGCCTTTGCTGAGAATGAGCCAAGGTCTGGCACCAGGCCAAGCAAATTCCAGGCACTGCCTTGTGTAACCTGCACAGTTCTCTTAGGAATTAGGGGCTCTTCATTCTTAGGAATTAGGGGCAATCCCCTATTATTCCCATTTTGCAGAAAACAAAAATAAGGTCAAGAGGAGAAGCAATTTACCCAAAATCATATAGCTGGTAAAGGTTTGAGAAACAGGATATAGACGCACTCTTCTCCTGCTCATCATCTTAGGGAACAGGAATGTGGCTGGGAAGCGCTGCAAGCCATGTCACCTAGGTCTCTGGGACTCTGCCAGGAACACTGCTGTGGTGTGTGGTCCCCAGGGTCCAGGCATCAAAGGCTTGGTCATCAGCATGGCCCTCCTGGAAGGTGGGGAACCTTAACAGGGGAGATTTTAGGTCCTTGTGGATGTGCCCTTAAAGGGCCACTGGGCTCTTCCTTTCTTTCTGTCTCTCCAGCTTCTTGGCCACCATGAGGTGAGCAGCTTTCCTCCCTACTCTCTCCACGATGTGCTACCTCCCCACGGGCCCACAACCAACAAGGTTCATCAGTCATGGAATGAAATCTCTAAAACCACGAACCAAAATCAACCTCTTCTCTTTTCAAGTTTCTATCTCCGGTATTCTGTTTCCGTGACGGAAAGCTTACCAGTACCAATATCCAGTTAGAAAAAGCATCGGGGCAGAACCCAAGCCCTTGGGTTCTATATCCAAGACCCATACTTCTGACTTCCGTTAACACATCCTGAAATGGAATATCACTCTTAGCAAGTCAGATTTACATGACTTCACTTCACCCTCCAACCACACTAAAGTGGCCATTGTCATCCACTCTTCCACGCCTGAGAGCACAAGGCAAACGGAAGCCGAGCAACTTTCCAAAGTCTTCCCGGGTGACTCGGGACAGGATTCCTTCCACTCAGCCACAGCAAACCTCAAGGTAAAAACCTTCTAGGCTCCTGTGAAACTGCTCCAAAGCCAAAAGCATACTGAGAAGCCGTGACAAACACGGAAGAGTCGTCTCCTTCACCTCAGCAACGCCACTTCTCCCTGGACTCAGAGGCTCAAGTTCACCAGAAAGCAGCTCCGCGGAGGAAGGATGCTGGAGATGCCTTGTCACTGAACTTGACACAACTGAAGGGGAACATAACTAAACCACATGCACTAAGGGCCTGAAGATCTCTCGAACCGTTACCCTGGTAATTCCAGCTGCAGCAACCTATCCTAAAAAAATAAATCTGAAAGATGGAAAGTGTGCACGCACGCGCACGCACGCACACACACACACCCTCGTGAGGATACACACACACACACATATCCTGAGACATTTAAGCATTATTTGAAAAAGAAATAAAAATGATGACCTGTGCCACTGGATGAAATGAGCAACAAGTAACGTCTGAGACCAGGGGAAGCGTCCACTTAGCTTTCTTGTCATTTTCAGATGATGAACCTAACAAAGTGCACGATCCTGGAAAATCAGAGAGCAAACCTAGAAAAAGACTGATAGAAGACCCGGCAGGAAGGGGCTCCGGCCCAGAAGAGCAGTGAGGACCAGAAACGAGTCCTAGAATCCGTCTACACTGAGCCGGAAGACAGCCATTGGAGCAGGGGTCTATAGGCCCCCTGGGGAGTTACCTGAGGGGCCGGGCAGAGGGCCTTGAGGGAACCAAGAGCTCAAAACCACCTGGAGTCGTCCTGGGGGACTCATTCCAAAACCCGCAGCGGATGCCTGAAACCTTGAAGAGCACCAAACCCTATGCACACCACGTTTCCATACACCCCTGTGATCATGTTTAATTTAAAAATTAGAAACAGTTGGAAATTAACAACAAAAACTCACCGCGGGATCTCTGCGATGTCCGTGTGCAAACTTGTTTGGTTCTTTGTTTTTCTGGTGCTGGCAACTGGACCCAGGGCCTTGCACGCGCTGGGCAAGTGCTCCGCCACTGAGCTAAAGGGCACTTAACCACTGAGCCACATCCCCAGCCCCTTTTAGTTTGATTTTGGTGAGGCTGGCTCTGAACTTGTGATCCTCCTGCCTCAGCCTCCCAAGATGTGCCCAGCTTTTTCTTTTCTTTTTAAGCCAATAATTTTTGCCTTTTCATCTAAAGGAAGCACTTTATGGCTACTCTTTGGAATGCCCTAAATGGCCAGCTTCACTGCTCTTGAACTTCAGGGCTATCATTAAGTAAATGAAGGGCTATTTGAACACAAGCCCTGTGACAGGGCAGTCAATCTGATAAACCCACACGGGGAAGCAACTAAAGGGCGGGAAGCGCATACAGCAAGGATATACTGCACAGAGGAAGGATGCCCGCACCAGGAGCCCGAGGAAGAGACGGGCAAGATTTCACTGCACTACTCACAGGAGCAAGCAATTGGAAACTCAGGAATTGATGACTTCTGGAGTTTCCCCTTTAAGACTGTGGGACCACAGCTGACCATGGATAACTGAAACCACAGAAAGCAAAACCTTGGAAAAGAGGGGACTGTCATACTCAAGAAATTACAGGACTTCAAGGAAGGTGCGGGCGGTTAGAAAAGCCAGAACAAAGGGAAGGATGGAGAAAACGGGCACGTGGCCAGAGTCCATCACGTGGATATGCAGTGACCGCCGTGGAGAGGCCACAGAGAAGTCTCCAACTTCCAAAATTAACCTAGCAGCCAGGCATGGTGCTACACCCTGTGATCCCAGTGCCATGAGAGGCTGAGGCAGGACTGCAAGGTTGAGGCCAGCCTCAGAAGTCAGCAAGATCCAGTCCCAACATAGGACCTAAAACAAACAAAAAAAGGTGGGGACGTAGCTCAGGGTAAAGCACCCCTGGGGTCAATCCTCAATACTGCAAAAAATAAATCAATAAAAACCATCT